TTTATAATCACTTTATACAATTAAATTAATGGATACATTCCTTTTGATAAGACTGTAAATTATAAGATTGTTTTAACTTTAAAAGACTACAAAAAATGATGCAGGATCTTATCAATTTTAAGATAATAATACAGGAAGTTGAGTTTAAATAACGATTAGGGAGATTAAAATGCCTTCACTATATTGCTAAAAATTCATTTATTTATCCGTGGAATTGAGAAAATTAGTAGTATATGTGCTACTTCTATGCCAAATTACACCAAGATACGTCTAAACTTTCGCATTTATAATATTAGTAAGTCAACCAGTTTTAGACTAATCAGTGCAGGGAAAGCAATCTTTATTATTAATTTCAGGCACAAATAGGTAATATTAGAATCGAAAAAATAAAAACTAGCTAAGTTTAAATCATATCATAATGTAAATAGTTTTCAATCTGCCGGGAATCGAAACCAAGACTTACAAATTATCTCCAGCTGCTAAAAAGTAACCATTGACATCTTATCTATATGTATAAAAGAAAGTCGTGTTAGTTACACTATTTATAAATCAAGAACGGCTTTACCGATATGCCTGAAAATTGGTTGCGGATGTTGCTTAGGGCATGGAGACGGACATAGGATACTATTTATTCATTTTTTTTTTATTTATGCCTTGAAGAGCTGCTTTTTATTTAACTTACTAATATTATAAATGCGAATGTTTAGATGGATGTGATGTGGATGGATGGGTGTTTGAAGATATCTCTAGAACGGGTGAACGGATCTCGATAAAATTTGGCATACGTATAGAACATAGTCTGAAAAACCATATAGGCTACACGTCGCGGGCGACAGCTAGTTTTGTATAAGCTGCCAATGTTAAGATATTTTGATATACTGCTTGTTATCTTGTTTTTATCATATCAAAGTCGTAAGACACGAGATTAAATTTTGCAAAAGATAAGAAGGCTTTCGGAGAAACGTTTACAGTTATATTTCATTTAGGATAAATGGAGACGAAATATTTTTGTGAAAAAGTCACGGATACACTAGGACGATTCATATATCACAAGCATATTAGAGTTTCATATCTTCAAAAGTTCGTATTAAAAAGTAATCTAAACCGGTTGTAGTTTTTTTTCTTAATATGGCTTATACTTATAAGTACAATAGACAGAGTTAAAATGACTAGTCTGAACTTCATCATGAGTTCGATGATCCAGCCACAGCCACGTTAGTGTGACCAAATTATTGATTCTTAATTCAAAACAAATATTTCTTTATTTACAGTGAACGATATTTAATTAATTTATTTGTAAAGGATTTTATATGCATTTTTAATTTATATTATTAAAGTTTAAAATTATAAAAAAAAACAAATAAGACAAGTTTTAAATGTCAATAACAAATAAGGATCTTTTCTGTTTTTTTTGTCCGATCTACAGACATGATGCAAATAAAATTGAAATTAATTCAAATTATCGTTCCTCGCATAGTTACTTTTCTTTGATGTAAAACAAAATTCATGGCAACCCTAACCCAGATGTGCGATTAAATAACTGTTCTTCCGCTCGCAAATATACTTTTAGCTTTCTAAGCAATATTAATACGTATGTCTCATAACTTATGAGTCAAAATACTATGTTTGAAATTATAATAACACTATTCAAAAAAATTGAACATCGCTAGAGCATTAAAATGTAACGTCTAATATTGTTAACTTGCGCTGAAATAATGAACTAAAAATTCAGTTATCAACAATAAAAAAAAATCAATTTATTAATATTATAAAAGTCAGGCCATATTTTTGCATTAAAAAAACAAAACACATTAAAAATTAATTCAATAATTCTAATTGATAAAATCTTTTCAAAAATCTCCGTCACAATTGTACGTACAACATGAGAGGTAGGTAACGGGCCGGCGGGAGGAGGGATGGAGCGTCGTTACATAATGCTGCAGATCTGATGTGGGGCAAAATTCATTCAGAAACTTTGCCAATGTCAGAACAAAACAAAAACCTAATTATATTTTATAATTTTTATAAAGTATACATAATACTTTATTACATAGATACTTATATATTAAAACATAACATGATACGATAAATATACGTGATGCAACAATAAAATTATTATTTAAATATTATTTTCAGCACAACTATAGTATCGAGACCTATTACTTTGTACTAAGAGTTATATTTAGTAACTATAACATTAAAACTGGTAAGACAAATAATAAAAAAATTGCAATGTTATTTAGTAAAAATTTTGTCAACCCTACTCGTAACAGCCTCCCCCGAGACCGTGAACAGAATCTGTGCCACCCCATGCCTCATTCCACTTCTGATCGAGAGTCGACCTACATCGCCGGCGCTACAATCTCTATTTATTCTCTTCATACGGCTTATAAAACATTTATAATTCCTATAAATTTCTATTTATCAACAAATTGATTTTATTTTAAACTTCATTAGTGCGGAAAAATAGCCTATAATAACATGCCCCTGTGCATCGGCTTCTTTCGTATCGAAATAGGTCCAGCCATTTCGAGATTACCCGAAACAAACGCGACTAGATGTATTCTGTCGTCTTCTATTTAAAAAAAAACGCATGTTGAAAATGCAATGCATTTACAACATATCGAAGGCGCTGTTTTATTGCTATTTTAGTGACCTAAAATAGAATCTTCAAGTAGTGATAGTTGTTCAACTAACACTATTATACTCGAAAAGCCTTTCGTTTGAGACCTTTATAAAAAGCGCCTTTCTTTTAAAGCAGCTTTCTCTTACAATTGTTCACAGATGAATTATATGAATATATTCTACGTAAAAAATCGTGAAACAATACGCATATTTTTTGGGTAATTCCAACATTGACGCCAAAGTAAGTAGTCTAAAACCTATATGTTATATTACAAGGGCATAAACTGTTGCGTACATTTTTTATTGTCTATAAAAATTATTAAAAGAAAGATAAGAAAAAAATAGCAAGACAAAAGTTATTAGACTAACATTGTTTGGTTTAATTAGTAAATATCAAATTATTCAAAATTCTTTTATTATCTAAAGGTCGATTAAATCATTAAAAATATGCCTCATTAATTAAGAGTCGTGGAATTTTTATTGCCACATATTTATATAGCAAATTTTGTGGTGGTAAAATTTAAAACAGGAAATTGTTAGCAGGAAATTTGTAACATTAAACTGCAGGTTAGTCATGACCGCAATGAGACAATTTATAGTATAATAAAATATTAGAACAATTAATAAATCGAAAGTTTTAGTATAGTTGTTGTAGTCATAGTATTAGTCACTGTTAACTTAAATTTCCACTACCCAAATATATTAAAACATTAAGATTTTCTAGCAAAATAAGGACAACATGTACGCTTAACAAAATTAACCTTTTGTCACTCAAAAATACTTTTGACAGTCAAATAACAAACAATATTATTGACACATGGATTACATTTTATATTTACATGGGCAAAGTTTTTATTGATGAACGATGCTTCACTGTTTCATCCGCTATGTTAGTCATATTGTTTGTAACATAATATTAAATAATAAAATTATGCACATCAAGTGAGTTAAATATCTATGATTTAAATTTTTGGCTTATAAAAAAATCCCCATAAGAGATTTTAGTTTGAGCCTAGTAAGCAAGGAAAGACTAGGCTTTAGTTGACCCTGGCACATTGTGATTTGGTACATTACATCTTTGAATTTCAAGATATACAAAGGTTACATTGCTATGTTCTATTCACAATATATTTCATACAAATTTACCACTTTATTACTTTTTTGTCACTTATTTAATTTAAAAGGTTATAACAGTTTAATAGCATTGCATTTACATAAATATTACATAATTCTTCACTAGACAAAAAATACTTAAGTAAATCTTAGTTATAATATTAACAATTCAAAGGTAAGAATTTCTTTGAAAAAAATAAATACTTAAATTTAAAAAAAAATCTATATGCATTAAGAAATAAAACAATTTTTTTTATGGTATTTGCTATATTATCATAACTCCTGATTTTAATTTCAACTCTGTATATCAGGTATAAGAAATAAAAGTGTACGGAAGTTAATATTTGTATTACTGTGAGAGATAATTTTTTTTGTTGAACTCAAGGTAAAATCTTAAATATGAAGCTTTATTTAAAAAAAAAGTATAAAATAAGCACAAATTTTCTTTATAATTTTTGTTTAACATACTCAAGTAATGGATAAAGAACTATTATTCTATCCCTGTCTAGTTTCTTCCATGTATAAATGAATTTTAAGTTATTCATTTGAACATAGAAGTAATAAAATTTACAATGTTATGAAAGTTATTTGTTATTTTTCTATATCAGTATTTTAAAGTTATAAAAATACTTAAGAGCATCGGTGGCTCAGGGGTTACGCACTTGACTCGTAATATGTAGGTCCTGGTTTGAAATCCTGCCATATACTAATGTGTTTTTCAATTTTTAATTACTTATGTACATTTATTAAACTTATTAACAAATTCAAAGTGTATGTGAAGTCACCCAACCCACACTGGGCCAGAGTGGTTTCCCCTAATGTTGGGTAGGCTCGGAACCCCGTAGTGGGGATGTATAGTAAGCTGATGATGATGATGGTGATAAAATATTTAAAACATAATCTTTGATATTTTGAAGTAATAGTAACTCTGAAGTATTTTAAAGATCACTCAAGCTTATTTTTAAGTTTTTTTAAATTAGAATTGGAGCTTTTTAAAATTAAAGTTGTTAATAAAAATTAAATAGTTTGATTATTGTTCCCACTTAATATCTTAATTAGAGACTTAGAATTTTTGAAATATTACGAAAATATTATTTGAGTATTACAAGTAACTTATTAGAAAAAATGGGTTCTAACAATATTCATTATCTGTTTAATTTGATACCATTTATTATTAAAAAAATAAGAATTTAATGGCACACGTCTCACTTAAGTGTTTGGTTATAGTGAAAGTATGAAAAAGTAAAGAAGCAATTTCTTACCTGGGACGGTTCTGCATGTAGTACTGGCCTCCGAAAATAAAAGCCATATAAATCCCGACATAATAGAAAGCCACAGTCCAATTTTCAGTCATCCATTTCCTATAATTTTGATGAATGAACTCATTTTCGAATTCGAAAATATAAGAGTAGTTTGGAGTGACATCCAAGTTATAGTTCATGGAAGCCTCCATATTTTAAATGATATAATAGTTCAATTAATAATTCACACTGAAGAACACGAAACACGGTAGGTTTTCAAACGGGACGTCAAACTGATATCACCGGTATAGGATTAACCTAAAAATCTTTGAATAGGTTACTAACGTATTATATCACAGTTGCCTAAAATGCCAGTTTGTACAGGGCGGTTCGGCGTGCCGTCTTATTGGCGCTAAATTTAATAATGAACGCGGAATGTCTTAAAGTTGATTATATATTCGCGTTGACGAGTTGAGGCGTCGGCCAAGCCCTTACTTATTCAACTCGCCACAGCGCCGACGAAACGATGAATGAGCTCACTCAACGTTCTCTTCACAGTCACACAGTCATACCGATCACGCCACTTATGACGCTATTATTATACACTGTGCTTTGCTTTTACCATGCATGTTGCGCTCGTAAAACGCAATCGTTTTGAAGTTCTTCCGAGGAAATGAAATTGAAGCTGTCAGATGAACTTCCGTTCATTGACCACAGATAAAATATTTTACAGATACACCAACGCAATGTTATTTATTTATTTACCAAACTACACAAAATATCCATTTACTATAAACCGTATTACAGTTTATATTTGAGATTGAATTATTTGACAACTGACGCCTATGAAGTATGGGATTGATTTTGATTGCGAATTAATGCTGTACTTAATGGACGGTGGTCATAGTGTTGTGCTGTACGCACATAACGAACAACTATGAACTTTCGAGTATCGGTCTATTAATAAAATTATTCGAACAAATATTTACTAAAATTTTGGTATTTCATTATTTTTTGAATTAAAGACAGTTATTTGGCCATGTATTGCACAATTAATAAAAAAAATTAAACAACATTTGTTATTTGTTTGTCAACATCACTATTTTTGGCATAATGATTTATTCCTTCATGTAGTTATAAAGAATAAAGTAAGCATAGAAAGAAACAATTTTATTTATATTGTAATTCAATTCAATAATCATGAAATTTTCCATTGCAAGATCTATGAAAACGATCATCGAAAATCGTTTTTTTTTAACCGATTATACTCAACCCATCTCTAGCGAATTGTCAAACTAATGAATATTAAATGGCAACACTATACGTAGATATTTTCCACTGGTCCAAATCTGTATCGGTCAACTCAGCGAAACATTAAAAACTGTCTTCTGAACTGAGTAATTAAGAAAAACAAATAGCTGAACTCAAAAGTCAAGTTACCGCTCTCATAATTTTACAATTTGTTACTATCGCGAGAGGTTTGGGCGTGATACTAAAAAATGTACGAAGCCATGTTCATGGAAGTGAAAAAGGCAAGATAAAGGACGATAACGGCGACTATTGACTGTAGATACATTAGTGACCGAGACCGAATCAATTATTTTTAATTTTAGTATAAATGTAGTTATCTACTATAGAATAGGTACATTATAATATGAATTTCCAAAGGAGATTCACATAAGTCTGCATCATGGCATATAAATATGCTAGTAGAATTAAAAATAAAATAATTACATCCGTGTGGAACATTTATTACTATATTTTAAGAAGCAAATTGTGTTGCAAAATTAATGTTCCTCATCTACGAAAAGTAATATAAGTATTAATTCTCACATTGATAAACAAAACATTTAGAAACATTAAATAATAATTGTATTAAACTTTTAATTATATCATTTGCAAACTTTGTCATGTTGTTAAAACGTCGTTTTAGCTCCATCGCTAAGGGTAACTTTGGTACTGGCGTGGATAGAGAAAAGTTCACTGCGGTGCTGTTATAAAATGTGTACATGTAATAGGCGGGTGTTTCACCAAAGTTTATAATCTTGTGGAAGATTCCAGAAGACAATTCCATGCGGTTTCCAGTCCGAAGCTGAAAGGATTTGCTGATCCGATTCGGCAATGCCTCGGGTTCGTACACGACGAGTCCTTCCAGCACCGTGAGGGTTACGTTTTTCAATTCTTCGGGTACATATTTCTCGTATTCATACCCTGGAAATGTTCACTTTAATTAAACTACATCTAATGGGGGCTATAATTTCGGCAATTTTTAAAAATAAATATAGAAAAATAGGCAAAGTTTATTTAACAGTGGTAGACGCCAGCAAAAAAACATCTGGTGCACGAACGCGAGACTCGACCGGTGAAATACTACGACGACACATAAGCCATGTGTGAAGTTAACGTAATTCCTCGTTTCGTCTGATAAATGTGCGCATTGGAAGCGGTAGTGTAGAATTTTTAATGATGTGCACGTAATGTGTACTCACCGGGAAATTCGGCAAGAAATACAACATCACTGTTGTTATTCCACGAGTGTACTGTTTCCCGAACGCTTAGTAAGTGCTCCCTCCAGATAAGACCTTCGTCGAGGAGCGGCATCAAGTATGATACAGACGAGAAAGGAGACCAAGAAACGTTCAATAAGTCAACTTTTGGATCAAACATACGCTGCGTAAATCTGCCATTTAGGGAAGCCCAGACATCAATATAAATAGAAATATTTTCAGAAAGATAATTGCCAGCGTCATTCCATTGCCTTTTTCTAGATTCTTTCATTATATGGTCTTTTATACATCGTGCATATTGGTGTACCATGTCTCCGTGTCGAGACCAGCGTTCATTAGGTGTGAGATGATATGGGTCTACAAAGAACTCAATATTCTTTTCATTATCGACTACTTTTACTACAACCGAATCCATGTCCCATGTGTGCACCATCATATCCCAAGAATATCCGTAAAGACCATTCGTCCAATTATTGTAACCCTAAAATAAATAACTTTATGAAGAATTAGCTGTCGCCCGCGAAACCGTCCGCGCGGAATGAAAAAAAAACTATTGGTCACATCGTAATGTCATATAGTCTAAAGCCTTCTTCTGAAAATGGGCTGACTATTCAACAAAAAAAAAATTCAAATCGGACCAGTAGTTCCTGAGATTAGCGCGTTTAAACAAACAAACTCTTCCGCTTTATAATATTAGTATAGATTGTCATACTCACTTCATATTGATATGTTTAAAATCCTGAACATTTTTAGATTAAATAGAGATAATTTAGTAAGCTTACCTTTGTAATGAAATGTGAAAATGGCAGAAAACCTTGCAGAAATACATAAATACCGATTAAAGAACACGTAAATATTCTTTTTCGTTCAATTAAATCTTTATTAGTTGTATCAACTTTAGTAGGTTCTATCGAATCCATTTTATTCAATTTCTCCTTATTTGTATTTCCTTCTTTCATTTCTTTAGTGTCATCGACAGCTTCTTTTGATGAATCTTGCTCAAATTTGTCTTCGACATTATTTTCCATTTGCTTAGTATTTCCTTCTTTTAAAATATCTTTATTGTCTTTCACTTGTACAGTTTTGTTATTTAAAAACATGAATTTGTATTTACAAAAGATCGCTTTGCTTTTAGTGTACGAATCTTTCATATAAATGAACATTAATTTAGGCCAATCGAAAGGATAAAATAGGGGCATTGTTGCTAAGCAAACCCATGGGAACATGCCTGGAAATTTAATATTTATTACGCTCTCAATTTTTACGCCAATCACAGATTAGATTTAGAAATATTACGTAGTAGTAGATTTAATAGTACTCGGAACTGTGGCCTAGCAGTGCCCAAAGGCACTGCAAGTGTGACCACGGGGCGTAGACCTGAATTTAGAAATATTTTTTATTAATTTCCCGCTTCTTGGTAATTCAATAATCGCATATTACCATTTTCTTGTATGTATTGTAATCAATTATGTAACACTGACAATTGCTTTTGCATACAAATGCGCTTACATAATTTATATCCACAATACATGAATATATTACACTAAGTAAATATATAATTTTTTATTTCAAGGTTTTACAAATAAACACATATTGTGAAGGTTAAGGTATAAGGTAAATGGTCCCCTTTAAATTTACAGTTTTGGATCAGGCACTTTTACACGCAATACATACCGATCCTAAAAAGTCTGCTGTTCATCAAATGAAATAGAGCACAGAAGATCATGGCGACGTGTCGGGAGCGCGACCACATCATCCAACCCGCTACTGTCAGGTCGAAAGCGAACACGAACCAATGTACTATTAGGTAGTCAGTCTGTGACACCGACAGGAATAACCTGACGAAATATATTAGAATTATGTCTCGCGTATACATAAGTACATAAGAGCAGGAACCGACATCGCTTAATCTATTTTTTTATTAATTAAAATAGTAAACGGTTAGCAACGCTTTTAAAATATTTGAGGAGCAAAGTTCAGATACATCCTTTGTTAAAAATATTTTACTTAATTTACGTGAAAATGCAACAATTGTGTTTAAATAGTCTGCCTTGAATATTGCTCCGAATTACTAAATGTTGACCTTTTATGTATTGACGTAATTAAAGAATTAATTCGTTTTAAAAATAAATTACCTCGAACTTAAATCGGATTTTCTTTCGTAATTTGTAATAAAACATCTAATGTCTATCTTTTCATTTCAACAATTACTGCACTGAGGAAGGCCCTATAGATTTATTATATAATATTAAATCTACATTAAAGGAGGCAACTCGAAGAGTAGAGCATTGGTGGCTCACGGGTTGTGTTCGACTTGGATTTTGCAGGTCCTTTTTCGATACCTGCCACCGTGGGTTGTATTACGGTGAATGAAAGCAACGTGATGCATCTTGCATATATTCGTGAATAAATTCATAGCTATTCGATGGGGATTTATGGTTAATGAGGTGATCGACTAAATGTCTCTGAATGCGACAGATAAAGTTAACAATTTTACTTACTTAAATGGGTTAAATACCCAGTGTTCGCTAAGATTCTGGACAGAGTAACCAGTCAGCCATTCCGCAGTGCCTTTCTTGACACCCGCCATGAAGTATAGAATGAAAAACTGGTACTTCAGTATGAAATAATTCCAGTATGGTACGGTCGGCGAAAATACTGATGCATTTAGATAGGCGTCAATGGACCTGAATAACAAAAAAGGATTTAATGAATTAAACTGAGACGAGATAAAAATTACTATATAACTCGAGAGAGAATAGAATTGGACATAATCAAGGTTTTTAGCATATATCTGCAATAGGTCACTAACATTAGTAATATAAAAAAATGTTTTCTATAGAGTTATTTAGTTGACTAACATAAGTTTGGAACGGTCGAGGTTTTATGAATTTTATTCGTATCTATTGCCTAAATTACTTACCAATAGCAGTTAGCCTGTGTGAAAGTAAGCAGAAAGCCGACGAGGCCGAACAGATAGCTGTGGTTGTTCCAGTAGCTCTTTTCCACCAGCAAGAGATACCAGAAGCACGCCGTGAAAGTGATAGAACTGAAGCGGAATTTGTACCCTAGAGCGATTCCTAACGCACCTGGAGAAAACACAACATAATATTACCAATAAAACTATAGAACATGCATAATAATCTTTATTTAACCATGTCATGACTAACAGAGATAAGAAACTTATGAAAATTATTCAGCGCATACCTAACCAGAGTGCAGCATAAACCGCAGCCATTTGTGGCATTGGCATCGGTTGTATAAAGGGCAGCAGCGGGAAGTGACAGGTGCTGGGGTCGCCCCAGCGCGCATTCAGAGCCGCGCCTCCGCGTTCATCCGGGATGTCGAATAACATCGCTATACCTAGACAAAATAAAAAGCTGTGAAATATACCTCTAGCTAAGGTAAGCTCGAGCCCTTTATGGGAACTAACGCCTAGTAAAATGGCAAACGATAAAACAGGACGACAAAATACGACTATTATTAATGTAACTTTTGGGACTTAAAAACAGCATGTATTCAAAGTCGCACGCTCGTGTCATGTATATGAGACGTGACGTATAAGGGAATAAGTAAGAAAAAATTTATTAGCAATAATTTCACCTGGCCATTATTATTTCTATCAACTCACCAAACAATATTCTGGTAACAGCTAAACTCGACGCGTCTTTGGGTTTGTACAAATATGCAGTGAGCTTTCGTAGATTTGTCTCTCGCATGTGAAACTCAAATTGTTCAAAGAATTTTTTGTCTACTGAATCGTAAACTGCTCGTAATTTCTCCTTCATTGTTAGCCTTCAAATATTCTGTATAACAATTAAAGATTATTTATAACAAAAATAGATATAAAACGCAGTTTTCATTGAGAAATAATTCATACCTGATAATGTGTTGGCTTAAGAGATCGACTTCAGACTAACGCATCTCCTTTGGGAGCTGATCAGGTAAACTAAATTATGAAAATGGAACATTCATTTATGTCGTATTAATTATGCGTATTTCAGCTAACGACGAAAGGTTTTCCAATTCATTGCGTCACATGTGTCGGGAAATAATTGTTCATTCATTTATGAAATTATTATTCATTTCTTAGAAAGTCCTATATTAAGAGTATCGAAACTGGCATCATTTTATGGTATTAAAATGTAGAAAAGGCGAGAAAGATGTGTCAGTCCGTACTATCTTCTCTGTATACCTCTCTGGGTTACCGGCGTGAGTTATATTGTATTGTTTTGTATATTTCTTTCCTTCTTTAATATATTTAGAGTTACTAGTTACAACACATTGGTACATGGTAGGGATTGAACTCAGACCTGTGAATCCGCTCCGGTTCGGTGCTTGAGAACTTCGTCACGACGTTCTTTAGATATGTATTTATTGTTACCTCAATAATAAGAGCTAGCATATAAATTTAATTTTTTTTATGTTATTTTATATAAGGAAAATCCTTATTAATATTTGAAGCATACAATAACAACACAAAGCATGGAACTAATTCCACCACGTGTTACAACCAGTTCGTCTGCTCTCAGGCTGACGTGCGTGTTTACGACCACATATTTTAAAATAATATAGGAAATATATGCCAAGCTTGTCTTATTTAGCTTCCACGTCTTCTAATTTAACATACTGTTACTGTGTGATATTATATTTGTTGTCCGTCTGATACGAGAACTAAATTTCTAGGATTTATATATGTATGTAGGTCATCCTCAGCCTGGATTCGTCAATTGCCTTCCCCATCGATTGCCACAATGCCTGGTTCTGTGCTGTCCACATCCAGTGCACACCCGCAACCTTGACCACGTCATCGGTCCATCTTGCGGGAGGGAGTGGATGTGACCGTATCTTTAGAGAATTTGATTTGCATTCTTCAATGTGTCAGTCATTGATATTTTATTATAATAAAAAAACATTCACAGCAATCATACTTTCGAAGGGGTTGAGACATGATTTTCTTGTATGTTATGGCAACTGAAAGTCACAGTAAACATGTTTATTAGGTGTTTGCCGTTGGACCCAATGGGAGTTTTAGTCGATAGAATCAGTTGTATCCCGTTGCGCTGATCATCCTACCAGTCAATCGCCACGAGTCCAACAGGAAATTTGTTGCCTAATTATATTAATAGAATAGTGTAGGTGAAAAATAAAACTCCAAATACGTTGCAATAACATTAATAACATTTAATTTCATCAACAATTCTCATTATATGACACTTGAGAGATCACTCATATTAAAAGAAATTTCAACAAGTTTATCTCAGAGCAACCAAATTGTTAAATAAAAAAAATTACCATCTTTTATAACTTTTGTCAGCATAAAGTAAAATGTGACAGATTTTGGCACAGATTCCAAATCCTATAAAAACATAAAAATCCATTGCTTTGATTTTATTCTGTAAATTTCTAATTGACATTGTATTATGTATAAAAATAAAAACTAGGTTAAAACACTTGAAAAAGTATCGGCACGGGTCGTCAAGGTCTAGGTCTAAAGTACTGCCAAGTCATCAGTTCGTGTCGTTTGAGAAAAATAAACGTATTGGAGTGGAACTGGAGATGATTGACCTAATTATATGCAAGGTCGAATCACAGATTCGTTAGTAGATTTTTTTTTTAATTTACTGGGGAGATAATATTGTTTTCATTGAGATTATGTCGATTCAAAATAAATAAAATATAAAAAAGAAGTAATACATAAAATGTTACTTTCAATATTACAGAAAAAACAAGTTTTGGATAAGTTTTTTTTTTAATTATTTATGAAAAACCAAAAACACTTACTAAACTGATATATAAACACGGCTAAACACTCACATATATACGTCCGGTGGCGGCACCGACTAGTTTCGAGCCCATCGGGGGCCCTTCATCAGGATGAGTGGTACTGGTATTATTTCGCGGACGCGGCCCTCAGCTCACACGAGATTAAAATACTTTTGTTAATATATATAATATTTCAATTGCTCTGAGAAATATAATAAAACACAAGCATGGGATATATACTACGTAGTCTACGTATTTTCAACGGAATGTACTTAAAATATGAAAATCTATGGAAATTAGATAGATAATTTTATTTAAGAAACAAACCTTACCTAAAACAGATTTATGTATAAAACAAAATAAATACAATAAAATATAGTACAAATTGATAAAACGAAATCTGTATATTTTTAAAACAATTTATTCTTAATATAAAAGAAAAAAATATTTTAAAAGATTCCTTAAAGAAAAAATATATTTACATTTCTTTGACACATTAATTTTGAATAATAAATTAGTTTAATAACTATATAATATTATTGTTATTTTTGCAATCTTTTCGTAATACAATCACCATAATATTTATATCAAACTTATGTATAGTCGGATCTAAACTAATTGGTCGTTGTATTTTTAAGGTTAGATTTTCAATAAAGTATTAAAATTTGCATTGCAAACAACCATTAGTTCAAAACCGACTATTAAAACCATCTTAATAATTTCAAAATAATAAAGGAACATTTTAAAGTAACATTAGGAATGAATGTTAATTTTATTATCAACACTACTTCGTAATTTAATAATCTCTACAAACAGATCAATTTATAAATACTTTTTAAGATATAGTTCAATTTAATTCTTACAAACTTCAAACTACATTAATTTCAAAATGTCTACACTACTAACATCTATATAAAATGGCCGAATACGCGCTACTGATTCTAAATTGAGCCTTCTGCAGACGATACTAAGGTTTAAAATACGCCGAAGGATTATTACTACAAATATAATTTGATGTGTAATATATTTCGGTAAACTTCTCGAACATTAGTCGTTTTATTGAAAACTTTGAAAAGTTGAAATGAGACATGAAATGATTTTATTTATTTGACAGTTAAATAAAATATTATTTTGCGCAGTTAAAGAAGTTTTAAGCGTGTACGAGACCTCCAGGTCCGGGCAGCGTGGTCTTGCCGGACAGGTAGAGGTCAACAGCGCGCGCCGCCTGACGACCCTCAGATATCGCCCACACCACCAGCGACTGACCACGACGACAATCTACGCACGCATATAAATGTATACGTTTTATAAAAATAATCATAAATAAACTAAAACTTTGGATATATATTTTGTTAGTACATATCTCTAAAAGAATCTGTCGGATTTCACTGAAATTTGGCACAGATATAGAGAACATTGTATGCGAACGAAGTCGCAGACTAAAGCTAGTAGTGAAATAAAATTTTGATATAAATTTATTTATTACCAAGAGAGTTATCGCGATGTCGTACATTTTGAATGTTGCATAAAAAGATATAGAGGTAGGAAAGTGGTGTTTACCTCCAGCGGCGAAGACGTTGTTGACGGGCGTCTTGTAGATGTTGCTCTTGTCAGTCTCGATGTTGCTGCGAGCGTCCAGCGGCAAATCTGCGTACAAACAAACACTTACCATGGTTTTCTGAGACCTAAATCTTTGTATAAAACTTGTTATCCCTTATTAACAGAGTTAACAATATGTTTTAAACGGGGATTTCGGTCGTAATAATTCACGATTAGTGCACAGCACAAGATATTAACCTTGAAAATGAAACTGAATCTATGAACGCCATCTAGTGACAACACATTGAATAGTTATAAAAACGTATGGTGGGTTACCGAGCTGGTGTGCGACATGCCGCTCGGGTCCGAGGAAGCCCATGGCGAGCAGCACGAGGTCAGCGCGCACGACACGCTGCGTGCCCTCCACCTCGCGCATCTCCCAGCGGCCGCCCGCGCCGCGCGACCACTCCACCTCCACGCACATCACCCCGCACACGTTGCCGGAACCTGAACACGTGCACACATCATACATCAACCCATAATAAGCTAATTTGAAATATTATTTTCGCATTTAATAGCCTAATCATAATAAAATACTAAAGGCTTATTTCCATTATTCAAAGGTCCAGATTTTACTCAAACATAGAGAATGTCAGAAGGATGTAATATAAAAAGAGAATGTTAAATGAGTAAAAACCGTCGTGTATATTGTACTTTTTTTGAAAATATACAAAATAAATAGTGTTGTTTATCGTTACCATCGTCAAGGAACTCCTTGGTGAGCGTGGAGAATTGCCTGGGATCATGTCCGAACTTCACCTTCACCTCCTCGTGACCGTAGTCCACTCTGAACACAACGTAAATATAAAATCAATACAAACATCGCAAGTTTTTATATGTAACTTTAGTTTCTCATACACGTATTTATGTGATATTTGTCTGAGCAGTTTACCTGAATATCCTGGGCCACTGCGGCCAGGGGTTGTCAGGTCCACGCGCACGCTTGGGCTCGGGCAGGATCTCGAAGGTGGTGATGGAGCGCGCGCCCTGACGCAGCGACGTCGCTATGCAGTCACAGCTACACACAATTTATAAACAGTTATTATGTTAATTGCATACGCAAAGGAAGGAAATCTTTGTTTGTTGTTTACATCTGTTCGAATAGAAAGTATTTCTATTAAAAGACCGTAACTTCGATGCAATTATTTGTCCCATTGAACATTCAATCCCAAGAGTTGCCTCATTTTTGACTAAGGAAAGTTGTATGACATGTAAGTATATGATGTTTGTATGACAGACCCGGTGTCTCCGCCGCCGATGACGAGCACGTCCTTGTCGGTGGCGCTGAGCGCGGGCAGGTCCTTGCCGGGCTGGTGCGCGGCGCCCGCCTGCTTCTTCTGCCATCCCTCCAGGAACTCCATCGCGAAGTGGATGCCGTTCAGCTCGCGACCCTTCAGCGGTAAGTCTCGCGGCCATGTCGCAC